TATTTCTTAAAGTATTTAAATAATTTGAAATGAATTATTTATGGTGTTTCATTATTTTAAAAAGAATTATTTTAATTAAAAGTTTACTTTTAATCATTTAATAATCTTAAAAATATTTTATTTCATGAATTGGAAATATTGGGCATATTATTTTATAAAAGGAAATTTTAAAGTCAATGAGTTTTTAAAAAAAGTCAAAACACTAGTTTGACTATGAAAGGGATCATTAAGGGTAGTAAAGGAATTTTAAGTAGGAGAGTTATTGAGAGAGGGTATAAATACCCATCATATGCTGATATGCCTAAGGTGGAGTGCACCCAAAGGTAAATTCTCTCTCTCCTCTTATTTTTCTTTTCCCCTTCCCCTTTATTTTATTTTTGTTTCGATCACCACCCACACAAACGTCGGCTACCACCACACGCCGTCGGACCACCGCCGCAGCCACCAGCAAGGCGCGCGGCAGCATCCCTGCTGTGGTGTCGGTGCTGCGGTGTTCAAACAAAAAAAAAATTATTCTTTTTGTTTTTAATCCTAATCTAGCCTTGATCTAATTATTGTTTTTGGGTTTTGTGATGATTTTATGATGTTTGATAATAAGTATGATGTATATAAATTTTCAGATTTGGTTTTGATTTTAAAAGCCCCAAATTATAAACCCTAGGTTTCTAAGTTTATGTATATTGATGGAAATTGTTTATGGGAGATTTAAATTATTGAAATAAGTGTTTTAAAACACGATTACAACAATTTCAAATGATTTAATAAAGTTGGAATTTTTATATATAAGCTATAATTAGGTTTCTTGAAAGGATTTTTAATTACCCATTAATTGGGAATAAAAGTAAGGGTTTTAAATTAAATTTCACCTTACTTTAGAGGGGTTATGAGTGATTTAAAGAGCGGATATATTGCTAGAAATTTGTGTGAAATAGGTATTAATATCTCTTTGTAATTTTGGTTTGTAGGAGGTTTCCAAGTGAGTGATTTTATTTAGTCGTGGCAATTTTGAGATCATATTCAAGGTACGTTCGTGTACTTGGTAATTATTTGAATATGTAGAAACATGCTAGGCTTTGTTTAATTAATTCAAAGTAGTATCATGATAGGTGTTGGTTGGAATTTGTTGATTGGATTAATGTTGGTAAATGATTTGTGATGTATTAATTATTTATGATGAATTGGTGATTGGAATTAATTATGTTGTCATGTTGATTATGAACCACCCTTTTATTATTGGCATGATTGAGAGCATGTTTAATAAAACTAAATGCTTAGTTTGGTTTGGGATATGAAAAGGAAATTTTATTATGGTTCATATAATTTTTATTGATGATATAAGCATGAGGAAGAAGCTATTTAAGCGTCTATGTACACGAGGATTAAATTATATTTTGGTGCCTAAGTGCACTTAAGGTGTTTCTAACACCGAGGGATGGGATTTTGTGGTGCTTTATGCGCTCAAGGTGTTATTTAACACCTTAAAAAGGATTCAACATTAAATTTATGTGGTCACTAATTATTCAAGAATTAAATTGTATGTTTGATTGCTTGAATGAATTATAATGTTTGATTGTGTTATGGTTTGAGAGTCATCACCAAGTTTAATAATATGTAAATAACGTAAAGTGAAAGAGGTTACGCACCAAAACTCTTAGAACGTATATACCTTGAGTATGAACATGGTGGGAGTTATGCGACTTTATATTTAACCATAACTTCTACCGGGAGTACAGGACGCTATATATTCCTTTTTATTATGCGCAAGAATTCCGCCACTTACGAGTGGTTTTTTTTTTTTTTTTTTTTTTTTTTTTTTTTTTTTTATACTGGCACGGTTAGCTCTCGTGTTAGTACCCCTTTATTGAGGCAGGTTAGGGGGAAACTCGTTCGATGCGTAATCAAATTAAATGGACATTGGTATTTTTCTAGTTAAGTGTTGAATGTCTTGTATGCTTGTAAACAGGTGCAATACGGTAAGTTGTGTGTTGATAGGGTGAAAGCATGTTAATGTATTTTTATTACACTTATGTACTCAGCATTGTTGATTGTGTGTTTGTATGTTTGTTTGGCCTTGTCTTTACCTTGGCCCTACGACGACCCATTTCTAATGGCGAGTAGTGGGGACAAGTAGAGAGAAGTTTTTCAGGTGATGGAGCATTATCATGATGGGCATGAGTGAAGAGTGAATCATACTTAGTTTCCATAGGAATATGATGTGTTTTATTTGCTTTGAATATTATTTATTCTATTATGCTCATGAGACTAACGTAAAGATTTTTAGTATTGTTTGGTTTTTTAAGGGCTTATAATGGTTCCAAGTTGTAGGTTGACTTTGTTCGACTTTACTTTCTTTTGGTTTGACGTTTTAAGTTGACTTGTTTTGAATGGTTTAAAAGATAGTCTTCCGTTGTGTTTCTTTGATATTTGCCTTAGCCGTTTTCACAATGGCGGTAATGTCTTAGATTTTCCTATTTCGTATTTTAAAAAGGGCAAAACAAGTATTGTATAGGAAAGGAATTTCTAGGGTGTTACAGTGTAGATGTTCGTTTGTCTCCCTGTGGTGGAGTCATTAGTCTTTGTTTCCAACCCTTTTCCCTTAATTTTCTTTAGTTTTGCCTTTTAGGTTTCAATAAACACAAGTAGTGTAGATGTTCGTCCGTCTCCCTGTGGTGGAGTGTATCCCTATGGTGGAGTCGTTAGTTTTTGTTAGTTTAGTTGTTTGTTTTTGTTTAAGGTTCTTTTGTGTATTAGGGTTTATCAAAAAGGTAATCATCTTTTGCCCTTTTATCAGTTCCTTGTAAAGATTTGTTCGGGATTGCAACGGTTGTCGAATTTTCAGATACATTCAAGTAAATCAGATGAAAATCATCTTTACAACTACAATAAATCGTTAGACTGTCTCCCCAAAAAGGTTGTATATTCCAGCGATGTGTGCGAGAGATGTACCACAATGTAAAATCTATTCAACGATCGTAGCTTTGATGAAGGAAACCCTTATCTGATTCAATTTTATGTATGTGTTAATTTAGATTTCATTTGTATATGTCATATGGCTTTTTATTAATGAATTGATTTGTTTCCAAAAAAAAAAAAAAACCCTGCACGTCAGTTCTGTTCTATTTGGGAGAAGCACAAAAGAACACGATGTGGCACAATAAATTACACTAAGATAAGTGAAATTTGGTGCCACTCAAACACGACACAACATAGTGGCATGTGGGCTTGAGTCGTGCATGAGCCAACCTTTTAAAATTTTTGCATGGCTCATAGCTTGTAGGTCGGACCTAACTCCAAATTACACAGATTTGGCACAAGAAACAATTCGACATGACTCACAACAATATTTATGAGGGGAGAAATGGCAAATTTACATGAATAATCTCTAGCCCTCAACTTTTCCAGCCCATGATTACGTTGTATATATTGCGACTTAATATTAAAGGTGGCATATGAAAAGCAGCAATAACTACTGAATAAAATCTCAATGGATTAGACTCGAAATCTCATAAAAAATTAAATAAATGAACAAACACGAATGATAATATATAAGAAAATAAGAGAAGTAAATCAAATATTATTTTATGTTTACAAATCAGCATACATTGCATCCTCCTGGCGACCATGCATGTTGCTCGATGGATGACTTACTCCGAGAGCTATGCCTCCCCTATGATAACCTACGTAAAAAATTAGATTCAAATAAACGCATGAGTTCACTTTTATGTAGTTAATGACATTATTAATGTTTAAATATGTGTAAAAAGTCAAATATTATATTATACATAAAAATAAAAAGACAGAAGGTGCATGATACATCACCATTGATGTATTGTTATTAAAGTGATAAAGATTGACAAGGAATAAGAGTTGTTTAATCAACGTGACAATTTAAAAGACAATAATATAGTCTCAAAGCACACAACAACCATAACTAAATGAATTAATGGCTCCATGACAAAAACGACTTACAGTAGTGTGTCACTGTGCCCACCTTCGACTAGTAAGACAACTAGGAGTGAGTGAGTGAGTGACAACTCTATTATGAATTTATTATGATGTATATTTGTTCAAACTACGTGACATACATGTGATACATCCCGTCCAAAAAAAAGGTTGATATATCATTAATGCTCATCAACTTTTCAAGTTGGTACATGAATTTAATATATTATTATAGATTATAGATATTACAACATTATGATTTAGATTGAATGTAATTAGAGATATTAATCGTTAAAATTAATGTTAATATTAGAGATACTCCGTATTATTCATTAATGACACGTGTCAAATTAAATAAAAAAAAAAAATAAAAAAAAACGGAGGAAGTAGTTAGTGGAAGGGAAAATACAAGTTTATCATCCTGATAAACAAAAACAATTATTTATCAAGTGACATTTTCGTAAATAAATCAACAATTTTTTAATTAATGTGAGCCCATAAATATTGATTTATTTCCGAAAATGCCATGCTTACTGGAATTCTTTGTTGATTTATTTATAGAAATGTCACTTGATAACGTTATTGTTTATCATTAAATGAGGCTTTCTCGTTAGTGAGATATATTTAATTATTAGTAGGAGAGAAATTTAATTAAATATTTGTGAAGGTGGAGTTAGTACAAGAGAGAAAATAATAGAATAATAGTAAATTTTTACTAATCAAGAAAGTGTTGCAATTTTATGAAACAAACGTACTACGTAAAAGAAAACAAAACGAAAGGAGTAACAATATAAGGCACCATCATTGTTGGTTAAATTTATAAGAACGCTTTTGAACACATTTTGAAAATCAAAGAATATGGTTATTTTAATCTTTTTTTTTAAAAATTGACAAGAGAGGATTTAACAACTACGAAGTACTTCAGATAAAATTTTAAGGGAACAATTATAATGTAATATGTAATCAAGATATATTTTTTTTTCATTTGAAAACATATTTGTGTAAAATATAATCAAGATATATTTGTGTAAAATGAAGTATACAAACTACAAAGAGTAAAAGTTCGTAGATTTTGAATAGGTTCGGTTCAGCGACGTTTAAGAACACATGTATTCATTTTGAATATTCAAAACATACAATTGAAAATAACAGCACTTTCAACAAGGGAAATTAACAAGATGATCAATGGTCATAAATTTGTGCATATAAACAGCTATAATTAGCAAGAAGGGAAGAAGCCAAACAGCCCAAAGCTGTAGCAATTTTTGCAAAAACAACCTATTAACAAGTAAAATTAGATAAACGGGTGAAAAAGAGAAGCCAGGAGGTTGACAAGAAGAAGGTTCACATAGAAGTTCAAGCTTTCCTTCTAATAAAATGTATCAGACTCGCTAATGTCATATACGTCCTATGTTGTAAATGAGAAGTTGAGATGCCTGCAATAGAACAGCAGCAAAGGGTAAGATGGTAAGACAAAGGCGTATATACTGCAAAAACGTGAGTATACAGAATAACAAAATTACATGATTGATACTCCAAGGTAGGATTAAGGATTCTAGATCATGAAGAGCAGCTTGATAAGCCTTAAAATTTGAAACCCAATTATTTAGAATGAATTTGTCCATAAATTCTTCAGGACATAGTCTGAAGTCATATGCTAACAGGAATTTTGCAACTAATCCTCCAAAGAATGGAAAGAAACCTACCGGTGAGAAAAAGACCCCATCTATTTCCTCTTTTTCCAGGGCAAAATTTGTCTCACCAGAAAAATGACAATGATGAAAATCCATATTCTTGTTGTAGTGTTTCTAATCAAATCTTCTGATGGATGTCTAGCATCGGTTTACCTGCAAAAGTAAGTCACGAAATTAGAGACAGCGCATATGTCGAAAGTATTGTAGTACAGCGCATATGTCGAAAGTATTGGGGTCATGGAGACTAACAATCATGATACTGAACAAGGAAAATAAGCACTCAAAGAATACAGTATAGATAAGAGAAGCATTCAAATAACCTTAATATTTATTTGGCTGTATCTTATAACGTAGAAAGATATACAATTATAGATCAGATTTTAGGATACATAATAGAGAGAAATGGAGAAAGACTAATCTCATATGACAAATGCATTACGAATTTAATATTTTTCTTTCCCTGATTCCCTCATTGTTGCTCATCCTTGTCAACCCTTTTACATCCTTTCTTCAGGCACTGAAAAGCATTTTGACAACTTACATATATTTTTCAGTAACTTGGTTTCAGGTACACGAAACAACTCGCCATATGAAAGGTTTAAACACATGGGGAAAGTAACACTGAACTCACAGCTGGGTCTGGGACTATCTGACATTCTGACTTGGGAAAATTGGTCTAAGCTCATTGGCTCAGATACAGAGGAAAGCACAAGCAGTTAAGCATGAAAACCGATGCAGGACTAACATATATAACTAGCTTTATCATCTCTTAGATGATGATGATGACCCAATTTTACATAATATCTGCTTCTACTTATAGCATATACTTTCGATGCTAACCTCTCAATTTGACCCCCTGCAGCAGATGGGTGGCGCTTGACCTTGCGATAGGCTTTTTCTGTGTTGTATGATTCAACCTAAAAGTAAATTCAAATTTATATGGTTAGAAACTCCACCAAAGATGCCAAAACCACCACCACCACCATGACAGAAAATTCATAATAAAATACAGATATAACCTAATAACAAAGAATATAACTAGATCTTACAGCTTCCTTAATCTTGGTAGTTATATCGGCAGATTTGACAGAAGCAACCCGTAAGCACTGCATAACAACATTGTGCATGACACCAACTCCACCACCCTTTTGAATGGCACATATATCTCCATTCGTGTTTATCGTAACAGTCATTCTGCCTTTCATTATGGCCTCTTCAGAGTGAGTAGGATCTATCACCTGTATCAATTAATATACATGAAATGTCCATCCTGATAGCAAAGGCTAGCAATTCTCCCAAAGAGATGCTGTTAATTTCATTTCTTACCACAGCACTATCAGAAGTGAAGAAAGCAAATGTCACGGCTATAGGAAGATGATGAACTATCAATGGAAGTGGCTCACGCACCTGCCAAAGTACAGATAAGAATTTAAAATCATGAAATTTGTGGGAATGGCCTCTCATAATTAACCAAACAGACTAACTACAGTAAATGAGTCGAGGAGTTTTTTATGAAGTGAATGAAGTCAATTTCCTTCAAAACTCTAGAAACAAGCCATTTATCTTCTACAGTGCCAATAGTGGCAGGAGCCTATTAGCTATAAGCATAATACCATACAATTAGAGCAGAACCTTACTTGGAACCATACAATTTAAGTGCTATAACCATAGACTTTAGCCAAAATGGTTCCAATCAAGAGAGAGATCAACCCACCTCAGGAGGATGCACGGTTAATTCTTGTCCATCTTCTCCCCCCAGAGTACACTCTGGCCTCCTGAATGTCAGAAGGGCTGCCAAAGCAGCAATATTTGCAGCGTCAACAAGATTTCTGAGCCAATGAGAAACATGAGCTGTCATATGTAAATACCAAGACACAAGAAAATAGAGTTCTGTCTCATGAAAAGAAACATCACACCATACCCTCCATTATCTAGTATGTGAAGATCAATACGAATGGACCACACTAATTTGCCAGCGAGGACACAAAGTGATTCTGTATCAATTGCCCTGCTCTCCCTGCAAGAGCATTTCAGAGGCAAAACAATCTCTGTATAAGCAAATCAAAATATGAAAAGAAGAGAGCCAAACTAGGTAGTGTAAAACTAAGTCCCGACCACTAAGATCTCAAATTATCAATTGGTATACTTATATTAAGATTTTATTTAATTGGATTCATCGTGCCACCAAAAGGACCAGAAGTACCAGCAGACCTTAGATGTCCAGGAATTATTATGCCTTCCCATATTTCTCAATTTCTAGACCAACCAGCCATGTGGACCCAGTCTCCTTTCTGTCATAGCATTCTCCTAACTGCAATGAACAAAGGCAATTGCAAAACCCCAGCCCACCCCAACCCAAACTCTAAACCTAAACATTGGTTGTAAAATCTTGGTGTTTTGACATTAAACATATTAAGACCAATAATTGATGAAAAATTAAGTTAGCTTCAGCTTTGAAACCATTTCTCAAATCAGATAATTGTCTCAATCTAGTAATGCAATCTGTAGGTGACAAATTCAGCAGAAATCAATTAAGTACTAAGCAAGATTTACAAGATAAAACTCTCACTACTATTTCAGATTGCTACATTCAACATAAGAACAAGACTAAGCACATGCATGCCTTATATGATCATCAAACCTTTCCAAAGCTAATTGTCAAAAGTCAAAAGAGGTTAATGTTGCAGTCTAAAGTCCAAAAAATAAATGGTATGGTCTAGAAGAAACGAAGTTAAAACAAACCTCAAACCGCGATCTATTATACGTCCCAATTCAACAGCAGATTCTCCAGGGCGGCCTGCCTCAAATGAGGAATCAGCCATAGGAGAAAACTCGGTATAAATAGCGAGTGATCCTTCATTTGGCCTGTCTTTAAAAGGTTGAACAAGCTGAGCAGTCACAAAACCCATGACATGAGTCTGGCCAAGCTGCACCTCAGAAGAACCATCTTCTCTGCAATTTATCACAATTAAAGAAAGTATGAGCAATTCTGTTTTCTAAATCACCACATTATCAAGCAAAAGATATCAAACCAGAAGCAACTCAAATATGACCAGAGTATGTCACATTATCAAACCAATTAATTCATGGCCATTATGATCTTTCTGACCTGTTATGTTACAACACATAATTAAAACCGTTAGTTACTGACAAAAAACAATGAGTTCATATACTGAGATCAAATACTAGGTTTTGTATCACTTTTAAAAATGAAATGCATCAGGAAAGAAAATACATCATGGCAACAGAAAACATATTTTAAATGCTCTTCTAGAGAAGAATAATTTGGAAATCCTATTTTCATGGATTTTATTGGCCACAGCTCATCATCAATATTTCCTAAACAGTTTTTGTGCATAATCCATCGCCATTCAAGGTAGGATGAAAAACAAATAAAAAATCAGTAGGAAGGAATTTTCTGCAAACGAGGTCATACTGATGTACCTTCACAAAGTGTTTTGAAGGGTACGAGACACACTAATGCAATAAGGGTCCTAGAGCCAAGATATAAGGTGAGATCACATGGGACACGACACATGCCAAAATTCTTTCATACATCATAATGCATCAAATCATCCATTCAAATGAAGAGAACAGCAGGAGGAGCCTTGTGATTTAAATTTTAATGGAAGAGTTAAAGATAGAAAACATTAAGTGAGCAATCTGCAGTCCCCTGGGGTGCCTTGAGTTGACTGTGCACCAGCAAAAAGTTACATTACTTTGAGCCATGTAGGCAACCAATCGTTGCAGCACCTCCATAAACATAACCTCTACGAAGTATACACTAGTCAAGAGTCAAGACTCATAATAACCCCATTACACCAACAAATCAACAATCCTTTGTACTTCACCTGATTGGAAGAGTAATTAGCAAACACCAATGCAGTCAAGAATCTGGCAAGTACATGTCAAATATTTAGGTATCAATCCCACCTGCATAGGTCAGCCTATCCAGTTAACGACACTGTCTTTGTTAATCCCAAACCACATCAAACTTCAACTTCACCCTAAATGCTCAAGAAGGGACAACCTCAATCACCTTTTTCCCAAACTATATACTACAGCCAAAATGGCCTGCCTGCTCCTCCATTTTAGGTTATCAAATCATGCTAGGCGTGTGGTGGATAGGTCCTTTTACCTAATCGCATACATTTGCTTTCAATTTTCTTTTAAATACGCATCACCCAAAAGAAAAAGTTCCAATCGAGGGTCTTTCAATAATAGTTCATCTCCTTGTGTAAATCTGGTAAGCGCGGTAACAACGAGCTCTTTGACCATCTAAAAAGACACTGCATAGGGTACCTACTATGCAATGACGTTTGTTGTTGTTAGGTCCTTCTAATATCTTGTGGTTCTAGTTGCCTACTCTCACTGGCACTACAGAAGGCTATTCTAAGTCCTTGCATGTTATCAGTTCACTGTAATGTATACTAAAACAGATAGCGAGGAAAGCCCATAGTTTCCAACATGATTCTGACATTCTCTATATGTGGAATCAGTGAATTGTAGGGCTATATGTAATAAAGACACATTATCAATGCACAGCAAACACATAAAACGACATTCATAACAACACACAAGTACAACAAAAGAAAAAACCTTTTACCGGCCAAACTTTATGGTTAAGCGACGGTAGTCGAAAGGGCGGCGTCCATCAACTCTGAGATCCGAAAGCAATGCCGTCTCAATGAAATTCTTCTCATTCACAGTCATATTCCAACTATTGGCTAATCTTTGCTCCATTCTTTCACACTGTAAACCCCCCCCCCCCCAAACAGCAAACAAAATCAACCTACGAAATTATCTTTCTTGCAACAATTATGATAAACCTAGAAAAAAAATTGCAAAAACAAACATGAAAACGTCAACTATGCTCAAAATTACTTAATAACAATTTCTTTAAATAACCCACAAAGTCATAGTTATCATTCAGTACATAAACACCAAAAAGATCAAATTTTTACAAACAAATTCCACACAAGAGTAGATAGTGAATAGGGAAAGGGGGAATACCAGACGAGAGACACAGGCGCACAACGGAGGAGCAGCGGTGGCGGCGGGAGCAGAAGTGAGTTCACCAACGAGAAAATGTGTGCCTATTTGAGTTGGGTTTCATTCACTCGACCAGTCAATCTTGCTTCTTTGTAATCAAACTTTATGAAAGACTCCTTTTTTTTTTATGTCCCAAACTCCCCAAAACACCCCTTTCTCAATATGGACTCAAGTCACTCAACAATTAACATAATCGAATAATCGATTAGGGCATGAGGGATGAAGATAAGATGAATCAAATTTATGAAGTGAGTGAGTTAATGTTAGGTGTTTCGAAAGACCTTTTGTCGTTTTGGGTTGGTGTGATAAAATCAATTTTAATCGTTCTTTTATGTTTATCGTATCGTGTTGTGTCGTGCTTTTCCAACAGTACTCAAACTAACCAAATTTGGCAAATATTACTTCAAAATTAGAGGAATGGCTTGTAACAAATTAACTATTACTCCCTCTGTTTTTTTAAGTGCCCTATAGTGATATGTCACGCATGTCAATGTAAAACTTTGACCAATAATATCTTTAATTATCATAAACTATAAATTATAACAATTGAATATTAGTAATCTACTCATTGAGACAATTCCAACAAGTACCCACAAAATTGTACATATTTTTTTTTCTTACGTATAGTTCACAAACATTGGTCAAAGTTATTCTAATGAATAGTGCCAAAATCCCAAATGGGGCATTTAAAAAAAATGGAGGGAGTACTTGATAGAAATTATATTATAAATATTTTTTTGCCAATTAATTGAGTAAAGAAAATTTTATTAAGACGTCCTCCACCTCATCATACTTTTTTTTATTGTTATTATTTAAAGTAAGGGAAATGTCTTAGTAAAAACAGAATTTATCACAATTAACCTCGTTTGGATTAGCGGACAAAACCCTTAAGAGTAGGGGGAAGGGGGAATGAGTGGTCATTGTATCATGATGCACCACGCACTCATAATTACTCGCATTTTAGTGATTTGTATTCTACATAATTTTACTTTGATAAACTAAAGATTACACAAGTATTTCTAATTTAACAGCAAAACAATAACACTATAAACTAATTTGTTTATGTTTGCAAAGTACATATCCAAAATTTGGACACTAATGAACAAATCGTTAAATCAACAAATTGTTCTTAGAGGTTTTCTTTGCTATGCTTATGAACACCAAAACTCTTAGCATTTTCTATTAACCAAGAAAATAGGATAGATTCTAGGAAAGCTTTGTATTCATGTATTAATTCATGAACCGATATCATTCAAGAACATTCCATTTCATGATTGTAAAAAATGTAGCTGCTAATCTGCCATCACAATCATCAATGCCAATTACGGAATAACTACTATGTATATGCTTCTTCAGACTTATTCCTTAGTTTTTTGAATCACGTCTGTATCATCATAGGTCTCTCGTTCACCCGAAAATAACTAGCTAGCATAGCCGCATAGCAGCATGCCAATATCATGACAATAATCAACTTGCTTAACCAAGCAAAGGCTATACAGTGAGAGAGAAAGAATATGGCGCAAGTCCAGCAATTCCTTGCACTAAGACCATCTTCTTCTACCAATGGGATGTTCATACCTATCTTTCGCCCTCAATTCAACCCCAAATTCCATGTATTTGGCGCCATTTCTCTCTCCAATTGTTACAGAAGACCAACAATTTCCACTCCCAATTATGTTCCCACCTCTCGTTCTTCCCCTTTTGCTTATCCTCACCACCCCACTTCTGGGTTTCGCCATTTTTGCAAATTCAGTGATTCTGGTACTCTCTTTCTCTCTCTACTTTATATAGTAATCGAGGGTGTTCTTGTTTTGATGGGAGTAATATAATTAGACTTGTTAATTTTGTTGGGATTTAATTAATTGAATTTTTTGTGATTCTAAATTACCCATATTTTAATGTCAATTTGTTTTTAGTAAATTCAAGGAAGGAAATTTTAGCTAATTTCTTGATAATTTGTGTGCAAAATTTTTATTAATTTTTTTTTGGGAATTTATTGTTTAGGAAGTATGAATTTTATGCTTGTAATGTAATCAATTTTGAAAATTTGCGTTGAATTTAGAAGCTTTATGCCTTGACTGTGGAGTAATGATAACTTGTGGTTGTTAAGAGGTTATGTTGTTATCTATGTGTGCTAGCTTTAGCTGGAATTGTTATAATTATGCTATGTATTGCTTATTTACATAAGAATTAGATTGAGAATATTTAGGTTCTTTAATTGAAGCTTAAGAGATTATAAGTGGAGTTGTGTGATATTTCACTGAGTTGGGTACACGTACACCCGAGTCTATATCAGATTTCTTGCTCTCAAGAAGACTTGTTGAATCAATGGATGACGAGCGTGTATATGTTGAGTTAAACTTTTGAACATGTGCCTCTTGTTTGATGGCATTAATGGATGCATGTGACTGATAGGATAGGTTTATTTGGCTTTACTAAATACTATGAGAAATTTAGGCTTAGTGTGTTTTGCTTAGAGTACTAGTGTGGATTGCTGTATTTACTACTATTTTACACTCCTTTCTTATTGAGTGGAGGAGTTTCAAACTTCTGGAGGATGAGAATCATATTTATAGAAGATGATTGTAAGCTGAATTGTTGTATCTTGTTCAGTTGTAGAGGAATAACAGGTAAGGGTTCCAAGGTGTGGTTTTGTCTATTCTGCAAACTAACAAACCTGAATTTGAAGTTGGGTTTTGGAGAGAAAACGAGGCTGATGTTATCTTGTGGAATTCCAATTGTAACTTACTCTGTATCAAGATGAAGATTCGTGGATTTTGTTGGGAGTAAGGGTTATGACTAGGAAGATGATATGCTTTCAATGTCTGGTTTAGCATTTTGAGGGAGTGAGGGTCCTTTCGTAGAGGAATTCCAAAAGCTGTGTTATGCTTAATTTGACCATGATATCTCTCACTAAACCAACTCCATTTTTAGTTGTTTTCTTTTATCGGTGTACTTGAGTTTTACAATCAGGAAAATTCTGTAAGCTTGGAAGAGTGACACTGATATCACTTAATTTAATGAAAATGGCAGTGTCACAAGTAGACTACAGGTCAGGGACTTGGGGAGCTTGTCTTGTAAAAACAGAGGCAAGTGAGAAGGATGCATGAGTATCAAATTGTTTACTAGTTCACAGAAAATTAAAGAAGGGTTTGTTCATTGATTTATGAATTGATTCCTTGACCGGTACAGATGAAAGAAAAATGTTGTACTTTAGCTTTAATATTTAATATGAATTGCTTTGACTGAGATCAATATATACATTTGCATGCAAGTGTGGTGTGGCTGTCATATGCACTAAATTAATTTCATCAAGTATTTAATTTTTTATGGGTTTTTCTCGTTGGTAGCCATATACATTTGCACATTCTCATTAGTAGCAATTTTTTTTTTTCCTTAGAAATCTCTTAAATAGCATTGGAATTATAATTTCTCTTATATAACTTTTTTTTTTTTTTTTTTTTTTTTGTAATTTTGACATAATTAACCTAATGGATTAACCATGGTTAACTAATACCCTCACCACCCACCACCATACCCTCATCACCGCCCTCCTCCCCAACCCTCACCATCGAAAATATCAAGTCACCACATTGCCATCCCTCCCCCTCCCCCACCCCTAAAACACCCTGCTGCCCCTCCCGTTCACCCCCTGAACCACCAAGCCACCTCCCCCCCACCCCTGAAACACCTTGCCGCCCATCTCTTCCCCCCTGAACAACCTAGCCACATCTCCCCCACCCCCGAAAGTCTGAAACCCTCAACCACCCTTTCCCCTCCCCTCCCCAAAACCCTTTTATGTAGCATCTGCTCTGATTTGAATTGAATTAGGGCTGAGATTGACTCCTGCGGATGCTATATGTGGCTATTGCTGTTGTTGACGCGGCTGCTGTGTGTGTTTGAGCACTGATGAGGCGGTGCTAAAAGCTGGTACTTTGTGCGGCAGTTAGGGAGAGTTTGGCCGGTGGCCCGGTGGGTGCTATATGCTTGGTGCTGGATACAGGGGCAGCAGGTGGTAATTTTGTGTGTGAGTGTGTTTGATGCGGGTGGAGACAGAGGCGAGGTGGGAGTTGTTGGTTGGTGGTTGTTGTGCTGGATGGTAGCTGCTGGGTGAGGGACGAGTGTCGGTGTGCGCGTGTTTGCAGGGGGTGCAGCAAGGTGTTTCAGGGGTGGGGGGGGGGAAGGGGAGGTGTGCTGGGTGGTTCAGGGGGAAGGGAGGGGCAGCAGAGGGAGGGAGAGGGGTGGCAAGGTGGTGGCTGGGTGTTTTTTATGATGGGGGTTAGGGAGGAGGGTGGTGATGGTGGAGGTGGTGGTGAGGGTAGGTAATTAATCATGGTTAATCCATTCAAGGTTAACTATGTCAAAATTACTAAAATAACGCTGTATTAGAGAAAAATTATAGATCTAATGCTATTTAAGAGATTTCTGGAAAAAGTTTGTTACCAATGGGAAGACGCAAAGGCTACCAATGAGAAAATCCCATTTGTTTTTTTACTATTATTCTCAAGCAATTTTCATTTAATCAGCTTTATCTTTTTTGCAACCTTCAGACAAGCTTTATAGATATCAAAGTGGGCACTTTTGTAAACAAGTATATTAAAATCTTTTACAGACTCGATGTCACAGCTAGAGCTTGGGAAACAATATGGGAGACGCAAACCAGAGAAGAGGGTTAACGCAATATTCTGGATTATTCTTCTTAACCTTGCTATATATGTGGCAGATCATATGTTTCTGGTACTGAATTTGTCACTTCTTTTGGTTAAGATACTAATAATCACTTCTTTTGGTTAACATACTAATTAAGTAATTATATATTTCAATAAGTATGAAAAGATCTTAGCAAACTTTGCACTTTGTCATGCAAATTTGGTGAGGAGAGACATGAAACTTAACTGTTTGTGCCAATTATATATTTTCTTAAATTTGTCAGCCTTGATAATGCCTACCAAGACACTGAAACTTTTTACTAGTATAACTTGAAGCTATTGATTCCCCTAATTATACTTTGGGAAAATTCCCTATCAAAAACCCTACTGCAGCGCTTATGATCTTATAAATTAATATATAATATATGTTCACCATGAGGGAGTTGCTTTTCTTTCTTTGCTATTGTAGAGTTGTTGCTTCAGGTAGCTCAGCTATCACCTGTTTTTACCTTCTTATAAATCTTTTAGGTTCGAGACATCAAAGCCCTATACTTGTTCCACAATCAACCTGCTTGGTACCAGTTTGTGACAGCTGCATTTTGTCATGCAAATTGGTAAGGTTCCAAAACTATTATGCACTAACAAGTACTTGATTGAGTAGAATGCAGCGTATAAGACCTATTGCATAAGTTAGGAGAGAGCCTCAATTGTATGCTACATCTAAAGTCCTATTCTCCCAACAATAAAAACATTTTAAGTGTTTGGCCTCAGCAGTAGTGCAAAACCCACGTCCTGGTCTTGTCTTTCAGCTAATCTTAGCTGCTGCTCTGTCATCTGCAGGAACCATCTTTCCAGCAATCTATTCTTTCTTTACATTTTCGGTAAGACAATTGGATTCTGTTGAATATGGAATGTGTTCTGAACGCCTCGTTCTTGCACAATATGAAAATCAGAGTGGCTTTCCACTATATGTGTAGGGAAGCTCGTGGAAGAGGAAGAAGGTAGCTTTGCATTGTGGCTTTCTTATATTCTAACAGGTGCTGGTGCAAACCTTGTCTCTTGGTTGGTTCTCCCAAGAAATGCAGTTTCTGTCGGAGCCTCTGGTGCCGTTTTCGGCTTGTTTGCAATAAGCGTCCTTGTTAAGGTAATATTGAGGTTGAGAATGTATATATAGCAGGCCATGCCCCACCGTGCCTGACTTTCCTAGCTGCTTGCAGATGTCATTGGATTGGAGAAAGATTCTTGAAGTACTCATATTGGGCCAATTTGTGATAGAGAAGGTGAGTGCTCCAATTCCCCTCCAAGTTTATAATTGTATCAACTATCAAGTATCTTGTATAACCCAGCTAAATAAGACAACTTTATACCTATCATTAGGAAAAAAAGAGTTTCAACTAATACCTGTTAACATGTCATGATACACATAAAAGATTCTCTCTTCATAACTGTGAATGTTTTATAGCCTAATAATTCGACATGCTTTCTGTGGTTCTGAACTCTTGGTCTCTTTGTAAACACAACTGTTCACTGATTATTGTACTTCAACCACCAAATGGTTTTCAATTATTTTATGCTTCATTGAGTGTGACCTCTACAGTGACTGTTTGTATGTGACCTCCCTGCTTTACAAAATCTTTGGTTCAGAAGAACAGTGATAGTCCATTTAAATATAGGCAAACTAATATATGGTTATTGGGAAAATTTTAAAGGACTCTGATGGTAAACCTGTAAACTGGGGAAAAGCTCACTTGCACCAAACCTTTGGCTGCCTATATTTCTGTTTTTTCTCTCTTAATTTTGCACCTTACTGGAGATCTATAAAATGCTGTCCAAACATAAATTCTCTATTTATCCTCTTATCATGTTAGGTGATGGAAGCAGCTCAAGCATCAACTGGTTTGTCGAATGGCTTTATTGGAACCTACTCATTACAGAATGTCAACCACATTGCGCATCTATCAGGTGCTTTGGTTGGAGTACTTTTGGTATGGTTACTAAGTAGGGTTCCATCTGATCCGTCAGAAGGATAGCCTGAGAAGCCTGAAAAGAGCAGATAAATAACATGACTTACTGTAATGCAAAGAAAGCCACTTAAAGAGTTGAAGCATAGCTGCTTTGCTGATTTCCTTCCCTAATTGCTTATGAGCAGTATGTAAGGGTAGATGAAAAGCAAAAGTTGCCAGCAGATAAACAACCAAACAAACAAACAAAGAGACAGGCCTATTTATACGTTGTTGTGCATAACTGTTCTGAGCAAACCTAGGTTTGCATATGTAGAGACCTCTTTGAGCTGTATACCAATTTGATGAATGAAATATACAAAATATAATTTTCTGAAAGTATGCCTTCTCTTTTATTTGAGCTTCTTTGAACTACTTGCTTCCATAATGATGTGGAAAGTGGTGACAGAAATATTTTAATTTCTTTTGCCTGCGTCTCATATATTTCTGTCATAACAATGACCAAAATACAGGTATGTACGAACTCTCTGCGTGGGTTTAATATACAACCAGTGGGAAAATAGAGTATTTGAGACTAAAAATAATACATCTCTGAAGTAATGAGTAATTTCATGACATTAACAAAATGCCCTTTACAGTTTTTTTGCTTTCTGTACAACCAAAATTTGTACCTAACTAAGCAACTCAATATGCTCAGTAAGCTACAACATTAGTGGAACTGGCTGAACAGGGAGACCTTAGTATCTACAACATTAAATGGGTGTCAAACGAGTATTCACCCCTGTAACATTCCAAGATGTGGAACACCCAAATTCTCTCAGTTCAAGAAAACCAATGTACATGACAGAGCAAGGTGGCTGTACAAACTTGGCTGCCCATGAGATTGCTTCCGACAAATGATGGGTGGTCTGGTCCCAAATCGACAAGCTTGAGCAGCATTAATGGACTTAGCAGAATTATTCCAGGGAGGTTCTGATGCATCTCTTAGTACCAATCGGCTTTTAATGGTACTAGGGCCAGACCCTTTAGAATCACCAATAGCTCCGTTGGTTGTCAATAACATGTCAGAATAAGATGAGTTAGACAGTTGTTTCTGATATACATCTTCTGAACTTACAACTGGCAGCTCCTCAGTGCTATTTCTTTGATCAGTCAATACCTGGTTTCTTGCAGAAACAAGAACTCTACCCACTTCTTTAGCTACGCCAGCAGCTTGCCAAGCTTCAGCAATGAGTGTGAAGGTGCTTTCTTCAGGCTGGACACCGAATTCTTCCATCATCTGAAGCATTTCTTCAGATTTCCACGGTTGCTTTGCCTCTCCATATCCCCAAATTAGTGTTTCAAAGGTTTTCAGATTTGGTGATACCCCATTATCACACATATTCTTGAAGATTTTGTTAGCACATTCCATATTTCCTGTACTGCACCAGCCATTGATTACAGTTGTGAACATCACAACATTAGGATGGAGACCCATATTTATCATATGGTTTAGTATTTCCTCGGCCTTCTCAGGTTCTCTTGCACGTGTATAACCTTTAGCGAGAATGCTATATGCATGAGCATCAGGTTTGATTCCAGATTTAACCATATGATCAAATATTTCTTGGCACTTGTCCATAAAACCTGCAGCACTCCATGCGTTCATGATTGTGCTACATGTAATCACATCTGGTTTCAGTCCATATTCTTCCATTAATCTCAAAACCTGTTAAAGATGCTGCACATGATTAATTTTATATCGTAACAATGGTTCACAAGAAAAAACAAAGTTAAACATATAGTATTGAGTATCAATCACAAAAGACAAATTGTGTAATGAAAGACATGAAATAACAAGCACCACATAATGTACTGAAAGAACATGGGATATAGACCAATTCTTATTGTAACAAAATCAGTTTGTCTGCAGAAATCACTAATCCTGTAATATACCAAGGGCAGAGTAGAGAAATGTGAAAACTCACCTCATCAACCCCCTCCCGGTCTGTATTGTCCAGAAAGCCTTTGATCAAAGAATTGAAAATGACAAGATTGGGACGCCCTTTAAGTCCTTTCATCTTATTAACAAATCTTATAGCATCCCTCAATTTACCTTCTTTACAATATCCACTTGATATGATACAGCTAGTTCTTTCATTCGGTTGTACATTGTTGCTTAGCATCTCCGATATCATCTCCTCTGCCAGCTTAGTTTCACCATTCTGAACATAAGCTGTTGCTAGAGTATTGTAGGTAACAGTATCTGGTTTCAGGCCAGAAGCCATCATTTTGTGGACTACATTCCATGCCTGTGTAATATTTCCCTTGCTACACCAAGCCCTAACCAATACATTGTATGACCTGAGATTGGGTTTTGCCATTCCATTTATGGACATCTGTTCAAGCAATTTCATTGATTCTTCCGGATAACCAGCAATGCCGAACCCTTTAATCAATGTGTTGTAGGTGCTGGTACTAGGTCTGTATCCATTATCTTTCATTTTCAGAAAAGCTTTCATAGCTTCCTCCATATTTCCTGATTCTGCAAATGCATTTATAACAGCATTGAAAAACACAGAATCAGGATTCATCCCATTTTTCTCAACCTGGGAGATGATTGGGTGTATGAATTCAAAGCGTTTCAGAATTGTCAAAACAGCTAATAGAGTAGTGTATGTTATCAGTGATGGAATGTGTCCATCTTTAATTAACTGCTCAAACATTGACAGGGCATCTTCAGCCTTTCCTTTTTCTAGCAAAATGTTCATCATCTTTGTTTTAGTACGGACTATTTTGCAACTAGATTTTTTCAAACATGAGGCACAACAAACTGATTCCGGATCTGGGTATAGCTGGATAACATCTATTTTTTGTCCCTGAAACAAGCACATCATAATATAGTTAGACTGACAAGTTACTACAATCTCAACACGTTCAAAACATCAATGTGTATATATTTGTATTCAGGGTGTTTGGTGAACGGTAGATTAGAGGTCATTAGAAGAAAAAGAGCAAATAATATTCCAACTAGTAGTTTTGACTAGTTCTTACTTAGTGTTGTTTTATAAATAGTGCTCCCTCTGTCCCAAAATAGTTTTCCTGTTAGCTTTTAGCCTGTGCCCTGTAGAGAGCAGGATAAATCGGTCTTAAGATCCACCATTGGCTTCTGGAAATTAGGAGATTGATGTTATGGATAACTATCAGGGATAATGAAAGTTTCTGGTAAGCTGGGAGGCTTTCTAGGAGTTAGAAGCCTTCATGCCAACTTAATTCAAGAACTTCATTAGTGGCGCTCCAAAGAGATTGTTGGTGTGACTTGCTAATTTGTAAAGGGATATAAATATTGTTCCAATGTCATCTTGGTCTGACAGCATTAACAATCCAAGTAAACTTGGCTCAAATTTTCTTGAAATTCTCACTCCTATAAAGCTGTCACCAGTGCAGTTACATAACCTTTCAAATGGGTGTTACCAACTTCCAAGGCTAATTCGGGCTCATATCAAATAAGGTAAAATGGCCAATGAAGTAGCTGTGTTGTTAAGTTCATTAATTCCAGCAATTAACAAGCCATATAGTATCATTAACATATTCTTGGTCTATAAATTTATAAAACTCCCATATAATAAGTATGGATGCCATGACCTTTCACTGGCTGACTAGCTCCCAGAGATGGCCTAAAAGAAGGGGTGAAAAGGATATGAAATCATCAGATCTCAGTAATCAAATTTTATAGGATAGGGATGAGGGGAGGAAAAGTATTCATGTGAGTGACTTATGAAAACATCTTGGTCTCATCCTTATAGGACTAATGCTCAGATATTGTTGTTGATGGATGCAAAGACTTTCCAATCCAAATATGGGCTTAAAATAATATGAATTCCAATGAAAACAAAACCTCTCATATCGCAGAATGCATCATAAGATACAAATGTGCTGCTTATAAATTTTTGTACACTACTGGAAAGTCAAACATGGAAATCCTTTTAGCCAGAATTACTGTGTAATGAAATTTTCAAGATCTGTTAGAATTTTCCTCTAGTGGCTTGGGTAAAGACTAAAGAGTGAGTCTCGTCAAAAAAAAATTCAAGAAATTTTACTTTTCAACCAGTACCCATATCGTTATACAAATGTAGAAGTGAGAGATTCGATAGTTTGTGAGGAAGAAGCAGAAACCAAAAGGTCTGATTAAGATAGAGCAGGAGTGCAGATACTACACAGGCAGTCAGGCAGTACTATTTCAAAAGCCACTTACAAACAAAAGACTTAATGTGGGTATTAGTTCCAGCTTGTGGATAATGTAATGAAATTTAATATGAATGAGCTACAAGAAAACCTTGTATTAGCTGGTTAATTAGAAAGTGTCCATTGGGAGAGGGGGGGGGGTTAGCCAATCCGCTTAAAGTCTTAAACAGCTTTTAGCATCTCCGTTTCAATTAATTACACTCTGAACTTAACAAAGAACATGAAAGAATTAAAAACAATGACAACACCAGAGCACCCAATCAAAGAAGGCTTAAGGCAATGTACCTAAGTCTATCAGTTTGGAAACTTTACCTTTGCTGGTATTGGTTGAACCATTTCTCTCTTTGTGACAGAAGCTCCTTCTGGGGGCTTGAGCAGAGCATAGAAATGAGCCATGTCTTCCACAAGTATACTACTTCCAGATATCAAAGTAAATTTCCAGATAGCTTGTTACTTTACACACACCCCAGGTTCATCACTCCATCATGATATTTTTTTTTTTTTTTTTTTCCTAAGAAACATGCAAATACCAGAAAAAAGTCAAGAACTGAAGCAACCACTGATCAACACTATAGTGTTCATTTCACATCCCATTTTTACTTGGACAAAAAAAGGGCATCAACTTCATAGTAGAATTCAGTTAACTGCTGATATTGGAGGTGATTATGAAACAAATTAACATCAAAGACTTTTATAACACAGAACTAAAGCATTTTTTATATCAAATACAAAGTATGAGTATATTCTTACAATACCGGTGACAACATTATGATACACTGAAATATAAGATAATCCCCAATTGTAGATTAAAAAAAAAAGAAGAAGGTTTTGCTACAATTAAGAACTACCCCCCCCCCCCAAAAAAAAAAAAAAAAAAAAAAAAAAAAAAAAAAAAAAAAAAAAAAACTTACTAGTTAATAGTTATGCACGATATTTATGTATTCTACAACAAAAGTACCTTCGAACTTCAAAGTTTCAAAAGGTAAGAAAAACAGGAAAACAAGAAGAATACATATGGTTTACTGATATAATACTTTTATGCAGAACAACAATTCCTTTCCATCTCCCGTTCCTGAAAAATGCTAAGATAATAAGGCTGACAGGGGCATCCGGCATAAAGCATGACAAAAAAGAGTCTCATACAATGAAGATCCAATACTAAAGCCCTAGATCAGACACAATCATATGCACTAAAACCAATATTGGGCTACAGGATTGTCTTGATCAGCAAATTTATTATCCTGAAAGCTTTAATTAATAACATTCTTCCCTTCCTAACCCCATTCCCCTCTCATCTCACCGCCCTCGGCAATTGGGAATATCAAGAGGACGGTTAATTTAGCCAAACTTCACATCTAGAAGACCTAAAAAGTCTTTGAAGTCTACAGCTTAACATCATTTAGCCTTTTCCTGTTCTCATTCTAGATAATATAGTTGACTCTTGATTCTCAAAAGAAATACTTGTAGCATATTTTAGAAGATTAGGTAAAAGATCATAGGCTAAAACACAATTCCAGAAAAACAGGTCAAATTAATTGGTTAAGAGCTGTTTTCCTCTTTCCTAAATTCACCATGAAACGATCCATTATACTTAAATCAGCAAATTTTATCCAATTTCTAAGATTATCAAGAAAAGTATAAACTATCAAGAAAAGTATAAACAATTTAAGCAAAATCCCATAAATTACCTTACATACAAAGCAGCATCACACATAATGTAGACCAAAACCAACTTCCAATTTCCAATATTTTTGAAAACCCATAAACTAAAAGATAATCTTACAACATAAAACCCACAAGAATCCAACTATAAACTTGAACAAATTCAACCCATCTCAAAAAAAAAAAAAAAAAAAAAAAAAAAAAAAAAAAAAAAACCCAGAAATATATGAGCATAATTTGTTAAACAGGTAAGGAAAAAAAAGGCAGAAATATTACCTGATGAATGATGATGACGATGATGATGAAGTGTTCTTAATTGCAAGAAAAGAGAAAGAAGGAGATGATGAAAATGAGCAGAATAAATGGAGTACTGAGATGATTAGTGACGTGTGGGTAGTGGGATGTTACTATCCACACACATTGTTACAAGGGATTCGGAGATATATTGGAGTTTGGATAATTAGAAATTGTCCAAGTTCTTAGCCTTCACACAATTTGTCTCATGAAAGTGATGGTTTGTGCTATATGGCTCATTCTCACAGATGTTTGATTTTGCTTAATGTTTTCGTCACCAATTAGTAAAAATCCTACCCAATTTATCGACCCCAGCAATTTTGAGGGTGTTGCGGATATTTTAAGGTCAAGTTAGGATGAAGGATTATAAATGAAAAATTTACGCTGAATCTTTAAAGTGAATATATTAGAGTTGTCAATTCGGGTAAATAGGTCGTGTTTGGGTCGGGTAAGTGTGGGTCGGGTCAACTCGGGTCGGGTCATTTCGGGTTAATGTCGTAACCTATACGGGTCGGGTTCGGGTTGGGTCATGCTTGAGTCGGGTAACGTCGGGTCATACATCTTATCGGGTTTGGGTCGGGTTAATAACAGGTCGGGTTACATTCGGGTCGGGTGAATAATAGGTCGGGTTTAATTCGGGTTAAACCGGGTTAGCGTCATTCACGGGTTCGGTTTAAGTCAATAATTTGCGGGTTATAATCAGGTCGGGTCATTCTCGGGTTTGAGTCGGGTCGGTTCAAGTCAATAATTTGCGGGTTATAATCAGGTCGGGTCATTTCCAAGTCGAGTCATTCTCGGGTTCAAGTCGGGTTCGGTTCAAGTCAATTATTTGTGGGTTACAATTAGGTCAGGTCATTTACAAGCGGGTCATGTTCGGGTTCAAGTCGGGTTTGATTCAAGTCAAAAAATTGCAGGTTATAATCAAGTCGGATCATTTCCAAGTCAGGTCATGTTCGGGTTCGAGTCTCAAATATTGAGTTAATCTGGGTATCGGGTTGATTTCAGGTCGTGTCATATCAGGTTCAGGTACATTTTTTGGGTCGGTTTGTTAACAGTTCATGTAATGACATTCACGTTTAATCATTATCAATTACTTCATTTATTGTAAGAGAAATAATTTCAGATAAGTTTAAATTCAAGGTAATAAGTTCTAATAAGTTTAGATAAGATCTACATAATAAGTTCATATTAATTCCAATAAGATAGGTTTAGTTTAGATTTTTAGAAGATAAGTTCAAACCCTATTATAATCTAAACACATTGATTCCACTCATTTTAGGGATAACAATTTCAGATAAGTTCATATTCGAGATGACATGTTTAGATAAAATACAATAAGTTCATATAAATTCGGATAAAATAGGTTTAGTTAGATAAGTTAAAATACAATAATTTATTTTTCTAAACTTATTTTATTTGAAATTATCTAAACTTATTTATTTTTTATAAGTTCATATCTGAGTTCATGTTTTTTTTTAATGGCATTTTTTTAAAACATTTAAATGGCATTATTCAAAACATTTAAATAAGATTTAATAGGCAAATGAATAATAAAATTAGAAAAATAAAAGACCAATAAAAGCCTTTTAACAACCTTAGTTCAGGTCACCACTTTCTCGAGTCCAGACAAGTCAAGTCATGATCGGGTACAGGTAATTATTTGGGTCAGATTATCATCGGGTCATTGTCATATACTCATGCTCGCATTCAATCATTATCACGTTCAATTCAATCATTATCCGAAATTATTATTTTTTAACTTTTTTTTATTTGAATATATATAAATATATATATATATATATATATATTTATAAAATATAAGATAAAACAAACAAGCCTAAGGTCAAATAATATTTGTAAACCGTAATTGACTACATTAATGCACATGCACCTACAAAGTAGTAGTATTCGTAAACCACAATTGCTTAATTGAAATATAGAATGAACTTGCACCTAAAAAGTAGTAGTTTTCGTAAATTGTAATTACTAAATTTAAATAAAGAATGCACATACATCCAAAAAGTAGTGGTATTCATAAATTTTTATAGGTTTTTTTGAGACATATAAATTGTAATACATATGATAATAGAGAATTTTATTGAAAATATTTGAATAAGCTTAAATAGGAAAATAACTCATAGAATTAGGGAAAAAAAAAAAATATGACGTAATCCTAGATTGCTAGTTGATTTCGGGTCAATAACAAGTCGGGTTGATTTTGGGTCGGGTTAGTGACAGTTCGGGTTGAATTTCGGGTCGGGTTAGTAATAGGTCGGGTTAAATTCAGGTAGGGTTAGTAATAGGTCGGGTTAGGAATAAGTCGGGTTGAATTCAGGTCGGGTTAAATTCGGGTTTTGACGGGTTAAAACGGGTTTGGGTCAATTTCGGTTTCAGGTCGGGTTCGGTTCAAGTCAATATTTTACGGGTTATATTCGGGTCGGGTCATTTCCAGGTCGGTTCATGTTCGGGTTCGGGTCTCAGATACTCGGGTTAACTTGGGTCTAGGGTTGGTCTTAGGTCGGGTCATATCGGGGTCGGGTCATATCGGGTTTAGACAGGTCGGTTAATCGGGTTCGGGTCGGTATTTCGGATTGGATCAGCTTTTGACAGGTCTAGTATATATACCTTGAAATTGATGTGTTAAGTTTTTGACTTTTGTATAATGATTTTTTGAAATATTTACAAGTTTTTTTCCTTTTGGTATAAAAAGAACACAAATTTACTAGTAACTTGTTTGGTTATGACTAAACAGAATATTTGTTATATGTAATTTCATTACGGTAACGACTGAAACGTTACTCTTCTCATTCTATTAATGTAACACTTCTCTCATATCCGTTAAATACTTCGTTCCACGACTTAAATTAACATAGATGAAGGTAAGGGAGCAAATGGGTAAGAAAACATCATACTCTTAAATTAACATAGATGATTTTTTTATTTTTTTTTTGGTTAATTTTTTTTTGAAAACAATTAACATAGATGATTATGTTGAAGAATATACCTCTCAAGTATCACCACATGTAAGTGTATCACATTGGTTGAAGAGAATAGAGTTAATCACTTTATAAGGCTAAGGGACTACTCCTATTACCATATGGTTTTGGGATGGAACCTCATTTGGACTTGTGAAGTGGACTCTCTCTTTTGGTTTGCGTGTGCGGCCCAGACCCGTATTTAACAATTATAAGAGTGTAAATAAAAGGGTAACCTTATATGTAGCTCTAAGGGTTGCATATGAGTATTAAATATATTTCCTAAAATGGTATGAATTAGGAAAGACAAAAACATGTTTAGATTGGTGTGAATAATGCTTAGTCATTCTCAAAATTTCTTATATGCAACCAACCGTAACGGTTGCATTTATAATTTTCCTAAAAAATAAAAATAAAACAAAACACTAAAATTAAATTGTTAACCTATAGATAGTTTGTATGTGGAATTGGTTCTAACTTCTAAGGAGAGGTAGACTACCATTTGATTTGTGCAACATAATTTTGTAATAGTCACACCACTAATTAAATTTGGTCATCAGTTGAGCCAAATTAAATTAACTTGCTTAAAACTACTTGAATAAGGTTATTTATTTATTTGAGTGTGTTAATTATCCTAAAATACATTTTACTTTTGTGTACAACTGATTATATTTTGTACGGGACATAAGTTGTATAATCTGTAATAAATAAGTAGATTGCAAAACAAAGACCGTTTCCTAAATTCGATACCGTATGCGTCTATGCAGTATGCCCCTCATGGTTCATGCCCATTACTCGCGCCTTCTATGTTGATGATTTATCATGTATGTGGACTTGTGGAGTGTGTGAGGTGTGAACCAAAAGACGTTTAAGTGTTTTACACTTTCAGCCAAAAGAGAGAAATAAAAGCCCTCAAAAAAACCCCTGAAATATCTAAAACTGTAACAATTTCTATGACATGCACAATATGCCCTGATTTTCAACAATTTTTTGGGGCTTAATCAATCAATCACCCAAAAACATTGAAACCCATCTAAATTCATCCCTCTTTCTCTCAATTTCTCTCTCTTTTCAATCAATTGCAGTTTTTAGAAAATGTTGAGATTGTGGAGATGGTATCAGAATTGCTTGACAGTACACCCAGTAAAGACTCAAATGATAAGTTCTGGCTTACTTTGGGGAGTTGGGGATATTGCTGCTCAAACCATTACCTTTTCCATGGCCAAAAAACCCCTCCAAATTTCTGTAAGAATCTTTTAATCTTTGAATTTTTTTGGATCTTTTTATTTTAATTTGGGTTGTTGGCGAAATGAATTTATCTGATTATTGTTTATGATCGTTTTCTGGGGCATTTCAATTGTTCGGGAAAGATTCTTGTTTGGGCTTTTGAAGAATCTTTAGTGCATTTTTCTTTTGTATTTTTGATTTAGGGTTTTTGGTTTGTTTAAATATTGGGTAATTTTTAGGAAATGATTTCAATTTGGTCTTATGAAGAATCTCTGGTGCTAAATTCTTAATTTCTTAGGTTCGTAGTTTGTTTGCAATTGGGTAATCTTTAAATCTTTAATTATATGGCGAAGTTCCCATTTGGGAAATTAATCTATTTTCTTCATTCCAAAGCAGCTAAATTTGAATAAAAACAAAGGTTAAAAGTAATGAATGAGACTTGTATTTTGCATGCTCAGTGTAACAGTGTTTGTTGATTGTTGTTAGCTAATGTGCATAATCTTTAGGATTGCCTCGCTAGTTCTCTTTCTCATTGCAATGTGTGTTGCAATTTTGGTTGCAGATTTTAGGGGTGGAGATCCAATTTATAGTTTAATGTTATTATGTAATCAATTGAGTTGGCCCATTGTCAAGTGTCAATTATCTGTTATGGGTGCTCGTGTGAGCTGTGTTCATTGTTTATGCTGGTGTTGATTAGTTAGTCTGCTTAGCCTTTTGATGACTATGATTATATGAGCTGCTGTCTCTTACATTGTTTTCCATCTGAAAATGTTTCTAGTGATTGATGCTGCTACATTATAATCAGTTCTAAACCTATTTGATCAAGGTTGTGTTTGGTTTATGTTTAATTGCTAATTAGCTTAAAGCCTTAAAGGCAAGGTGTTTTGAGCCTGTCGAAGTTGTGAGATAGCAATGTTTGTTTTTGTTTTGTATACAACTCTATCTTGCTATTTGTGAGCTAGGACAAAGCTTTGAGCTGCTTGTGCCATCA